ATCAGCATTTTCTAAACATGCTTTTATTTCCACTTTATATATATTAAAAAAAAAAAAGGAAAGCTAATTGCCCAGCCTGAAGAATAGGAGTATTCAAGATGAATGCTTTTAGTGAGGTGGAGATTATTAGGGGCCCCAAATCCTCCACAACCCCTGGCCCCAAGCCTTTTGTCCACGAGAGAAACCACCCAGGCAGAATCTCCATGTTAGAGTCTAGGTGCCGTTTGCTCAATTACTCATTGTGTGAACAATTACACGGACCCCATGCTGAGCGCATTGTTTCATTTAATCTCACTACAAGATAGGTAGGTACTGTGCTCGTTCATATTTCACTGCCGAGAACACTCGCGCTTACAGAGATCAGAGACTCAGAAAGAGACCGAAGACCTGCGTTTCTTTGCCATTGGGACCCTGGGCAGCTGTCCATCCCAGAACTCAGGGGGAGCTGGTACAATGCGCTGGGGAGGGGCATAGGCTTTGGCGTCCGACCAGCTGGCTTAAATCCTCCTTTGGCCACTTGTTACCCTCTGTGCATCTAGGCAGCTGGCCCTGCCAGCTCTCTGTACTCCTCTTTCTCCTCTTATACCGTGGTGTGATGGTAGCACCTTCCCATGGTGGGCCGGGGGACCTGCTCAGAAAAGTTTCCGATCTGTCCGACTGCCATTCACTTTCCTTGCAGCCCTGGTCAGCAGATGCAGCTGGGAAGAGCCAATCAGATGCCTCACTTTTCTGCCGAATCAGTGAGAGCGTTGGCATACCCCACTGCGCGGCGAGCTAAGAGGATGCAACTGTTGCTGAGAGCTCATTTGCAAAGTAAAGCCAGATAGAGCATAGCAGAGCTGGAAGAGTGGTAAGAACTTGGCTGTTCTCAGAGCATCTGGATCCCACCATGCCTGAAGGCATCCGTCCAGATTTTTCCTTTCATTGAGCCAGTGAATTTACTTCTAGTTTAAGCTCATCTGAATTTTGTTTGTGTCAGTCCATGGCACTACTTTTTAGGAGTTTTGAGACGGTAGAAACAAAGCTCTTGGCACAGAGTCTGCCTGCGTTGTTAACAAGTGGACACTCATAGTATAACGAATGCTGTGTGTCCTGCCCTGTGCTGGGTGCTAGAGGATGGGAGGTGGATGACGTCTGGTACCTGCCTTTGGGCGCTCACACTCTAGTAAAGGAGACAGAGATGGTGACAGACAGGTGTAAAACAAAACATGTGACCCGTGATTGTGTTCCGGGTCCTGTGACCATTCCAGATAATTAGTTGTCGGGAAGGAGCAGGGGACAGGGAGTTGGGAAAAGCTTTGCAGAGGACAGGAGGCTGGCAGGAGTCTTACAGGATGGGTGGATATTCATGCTGGGCATAGCGGGCCTAGAAAATGCAGTCAGGGGCAGGGGATTTAGCTCAGCGGTTCGGTGTCCTGCCTCGCAAGTGCAAGGACCCGAGTTCGACCCCCGGTACCAAAAGAAAAAGAAAGAAAATGCTGTCAGAGCTCCTACAAAATCACCCAGCTAAGTGGACAATACCCAGGGTTTCCTTACTCCAGCATTCCCTGGGCATGGGAGTGTGGCACGGCTCAGGGACAGGGCTAACCAAGAAGGAGTGAGCGCCCCCTGGAGGTGTGATAGCCAGCCCGACTCCATCTTGTGCGGCAATGCCATTTTGTACCTGTGCTTGAACAAAAGCACGCACAAGCCCCACATCCTGCTTGGCAGTAAACTTGCTACAGTTGCAGGATGTTTTGTAGCTCACCTAGTGTGTGTGAAACTTCCTTGTACCACCCCCCTACCCCACGAACCTGGCCTGGTTCTGCTTCTGTAAGATTCGGTTTGTTCTCCCCTGAGCCCTGCCCAGCGGAAAGCATGATTTAAAAGGAGAAATCAAACCGCTTCCCACTGCTGAGGGAACTTTCTGGGCCCTAGACCCTATTTGGCCACCGGCTATAATAAACTGGGCTCGAATCTGGCTGACTGTGGTTCACTTTGTTCTAACTCTGTCATCCACAACAAAGGGATTAGGATCTGTATCATATCAGGAATTCCTAAAACCAGTAAAAACGACAAGTATTCCAATAGAAAGCAGGCCAAAAGCTTAACACAAGAAGTGGGGGTGGAAGGAACTTTGATGCAAACTTTTAAGTCTTCAAACTCAGCCATGCGAAAGTGAAGACTTGTTCAGTTACGGAGTTTGAGGACAAATCTAAAAGAGTTGAAAAACCGAAGAAGTCTTTCTTGTGGTACCGGGGATCGAACTCGGGTCCTTGCGCTTGCGAGGCAGGCCACCAAACTGCTGAGCTAAATCCCTGGCCCTGGAAGAAGCCTTTTTAATAGTGGAACAATAATAACGAATTAATAGAATGACAGTGGAAAGAGCCCAGGAGAAATGGAGAAGTAAAAGACAGGGAGCTATCG